AAACAGTGTGCTTCTCCTTTAGTTTACCTCATATGGTGAAGTAAACGTTCTACATATAAAACCAGTGTAGCTGTACTGTTAATTTTTGGGTGCCACAGCAGCAGTGGTCGTCAAAACTGGTAGGCATTCTCTCCGTCAGCATCAATTTCTCCTGAGACCTCTAGGAGGGAGTTTAAATGACCGCCTAGCAAAAATAGACCACTAGAAGAAAAACTTACCAACGGTTGCTGGCTCCTTGAGCATCAGGCATATCAGAATCGACGCTAAGTATGTAGTCTTGAAGTCGGCGTTCAGCGCATTAGCAGGGTCACCGCGTTTAGTCAGTGTACCAAAGCCACACTTGAGGAAAACTCGTCGATTGTCACACTTGATAGCTAGCTTCAAGCATATCCATGTCCACACAGTAGCGTCTCACAAGTGGGCATAGTGAAAAGGCCTTGCGAAAGCAAGTTATGCACTGGCTGAAGATTGATTATGAGCCGGAAGTATAGACAAAACAGTATAGATAAAAAGTGTGGTAAAAGCTGTACCGCAGTGTATTCCGAACTGAGTGATTCCTGTCTACAGTGACTGCATGCAGGAATGTCAGCTCAACGGAACTGTGCTGAATAGTTGCATATGCAAAAGGATTATCCAAAATCACCAGGACTCTTCTGTCAGGTCACTTTTTGTGTGGAATTAACAAAGCCATTTATCGATCAAATTCCTCGTTGTGCATGCTCTTTTACTGGATTCATATTGCACGCCCAGCCTGACCGTATTCATATCAGCGAGAAACCTTGCAATCCTGCATTTAGCCAAATTCAGGTGGCAGTGACTGCTTCAGGACAGCACAGTAACACACTGAAGCGCTCCTCCGATCGTTTCGTGTCAAATGAGTTCGCTTATTCGCACAATAGTACTTTCAACTGTGTGCGATAGGTGTGATTTCCTTCAACACTGAGTAAGTCCGCTGTTTCATACTCCTCAAAACGACTGGAACGCGGTCAAGTCAGGTGGGAATTTTGCTGGTGGGGACCTGCGTGGCTTCACCTCTGAGGAGTCCTCAACCGACGTTACACCGCTTTTGAAATTCCTTCAGCCCACAACTGCTGGTTTCAAAACGCCTTCTTCAGGTTTGTCAACAAATTCTTTTTCTTTCTGTCTCAGGAAATCACCTGATACTAACATCCTTTCCGCCGCGCTGACAAGGAGTAGGTGCTAGTAGTTTATCTGATGCGCTCAAACGAATCTTTCGCACTTCACTGTCCCTGGTAGATTCTTCATTGCACCTCGGATCAACGAAGGTCCTTGAATTGATTATGGTATGGACTTAAGTTTTTTCAGTCCAAACCTGTAAGGTTGTGGTACTCAAAAGAAATATACTTTGGTTGATCGTTCGGCGGCTTCATAATTGCTTTCACTTTACCTAAATAACACGGACTTTCCACCTGACCTAGCAACACCGGCAGATTGTATACGTCAGCTAATGATCATGATGACGAATGCAGTGCTACAATTATTCACTCTTATTTTGACGTCTCCGGAGTCAGTGACGTCACGAGTCGTTTGTTTTTGTCAGTACACACGCTGCATCGAGTCACCTTAACCTCATCTGACACACTGATCATCGGGACCAGCCAGTTATCATTCATTTGGAAGCATAACAGTTAGTCAAGGTAATCTCCTCTGACACGCCACGTGTTACAGGCATGCCGATGACAGCAAAAGACAGCAGTATTAACGACACCAATGAGTGTGTCTATGATAGCTGGAAATAGTACCATGGATAGCCCACTTTCCCTACATCGCATGCTCTGAGCACGCCACAATCGTCCTTCACTAAATTCCGACGGATCAGCCAGGGTACTGGCTCTAACCAGCGTCATCACATGACTTCACAGGCTTTTTGTTGGCAACTACGTCAACAGAAAGCGGCTTAACTTACCGCAGTTAGTAATAGGACGAATAAAGCGGTGCGACCTCTTTTCCAGTCGTTTTCTGTTTATGAAAAAATGCCTATCTCGACGAAAAAGCTCCGGTCAAGAATCTACAAGGATTTCATAACTGTTGACTCAGTGTTCTGATTGATAAACAATTAAGGCTGTAAATATTCTCAGTTTACAATAATGTAGATGAAATTGGAATTCTTCTTAGGCATTTGCGTCCCACAGCCTAGCCCAACGTGCCATTTCAAAGTCACCAGCCTAATCGATCAGCTCAATCGGAACGTATGGATCGTGTGACACGAGCGTTAATCGTGAGATCGACATGTCAAAGTTCACGTCCGAGAGGCCAGACTCAAAGTTCAACGGACGCGGATCAATCAGTGAACGTGTCAGGCGTCCAGCAAACGGGATATACTCATGATAATAACTGATGATGTTACCTGGGTTGGTGACGAGACATCTGTAACCAAACTGACAAGCTCAGCGAACAGATCGACGTACACAAACCACTATAGTTAAGATGGGGAGAGTGTGATAAGTGGACTGAAACCAAGAGGGCGCAGAAAGTTCATGGAGCTTCCGTAGTCGACCAAACTAAAATTAGTAAATAATCGTTCAGCTGAGGAAGCACGAGGGCTGGGATACTGCCACATTGCTCAAGCCTAGACAGGGGAAGTCGAGAGGCGGTCGTTTTCGAAACACGGTCAGTAAATTCGCACTCGAACCACTGAGCCATTCGTCCCTCTGAAATGTAGTAAGCATGCAGGTAGCCGCCACGAAGGACCAAAGTCGCCTTCTAGCCCTGAGATTGATAATATTAGCTGTACTTTCTAGGTCTATCAATCTCGGCGGTCAAGCTGCCACTATTGACTGTACTGCCATGAGTAGCACATGAGAAGGACCCTATATAAAAATGCTGCACACAGCAGTCTACAAGCCGGTTGTCGTTTTCACCTCCACATCAATCTTACGGGTCAAGAGTTACAACCCCAGGCATGACCACACCAATCGGCCCTACTGTCTTCTCCCCACATCCAAGCTATTTATAATGGAGTTCGAAGCCTAGCCTTGCGCGACGTGGGACTGAGATCGCTCTCTTTAGTTGTCTCACCCCAAATACACTCATTAGTTCGTGTTCTTCCCTGTTGGATAGGTACATTTCCCCGTCCTCTTCCTAGGGCTGCGCAAGAAAGGTTTGCCACCACGCCGATTTCTTTGCTGATAAGTAAAAATAAGAGTTCCAGACAACACTTGGGGCTCGTCCAAACTTAATCCTACGAATTCTTCTAGTTTCCAACACCTACCGTAGGTAAACGCTCCAGGCACAAAAAACTACTGGCTATAACTTACAGGAACTCGGCGATGCCCTAGCTGCTCCATTTTTTAGGTACTCTCGCAACCCTGCCTCTCATCTGAACTGCACCCAGGTGGCTACTTCAAGTGGTTTTCCACTCGCAAAAATTAAAGTCTCTTTATCATTTCCATGTGACACGGCTGCAAGTTTGTAAGTTGAGAACTCACACCAGAGTGTACAGAGGTTTACTTCACTTGACTTGGAGTAAACTGAAAGCAATAAGGCACTGTGGATGGACTAGGAATTTTAATTTCAGCTTTGCTGCATCACATGTATTACTTGCGTTATTCACCCGGTTGTCATAGAAGTGAAAACTATGATCAGATGAAAATTCCACGCTCAGCGATGCGACCTCACAAACAACCAACTGTAATACATTCTACTCAGGCGAACATGTCACCCACCATCGATTTTTACAACTCACAAGACCGCACGAATGCAGTCTATGAGAACCACTCGAGAAAAAACAACCCTTCATACAGGTGACTGAAATTTTGGAGCTCATTCAGACGTCTCACATTTGTGCCATTAGTTTGACTCATACGAGTAGCGCATTTCGATCACCTGCCTTAATATTAAAAAGTGACCTCTGAGGTTTCGGGATACATAGACAACAAGTCAGAGTAACATACGAGGACTACTCCGCTAATTAGAACTAGTAACTTATCATAATTAGGCAATCACAACAGAACGGCAATCTATTTTCCGAGAGTAAGTGTGTAACTCAAACCCCCTATTCGATATGAGTGCGCCTGCACCAATATTAGTAAAAAACACCCAGTAAAATAGCAGCACATCCGCGTGATTGACTTGTTGGACACAGGTAGAAATCCTTTCACAACGTTGGGACAAATTGACGGTTTTCATCCAAGCTACCCCCGGAACTGATGCTTGCCCGTTGCAAGAATACGGATACCGCATCTAATAGGCGGGACAGAATCTTACATTGTACCAAACACGAACCATGTTAGTGTGTAAGGTAGACCCAAGCCAACTAGCAGAGATTTGCATGCACCGAAGTTTCGACAGGCCGCTTGTCGACCTGCATTGGGAGGAAATCCACCAGAAAATTGTCGTTATCTACATTATGATGTGAATGAAAAAACTCATTGGTTCCTTCATTACAGGATATGACATTGCGAGGTAGAGTTGCTGATCTGACGAATTTTTCGGTTAGTTTATTGGATCACTGTTCGAGATTGGTGCAAAATCACGGACTTGGAACTTACACAAGATGTATGCGATCCGGTACCTGTTATGCCAACTTTAAGAAATCCAATCTGGGCTAATTCTCAGGTAATTCGTCTTTCAATGTTCTGTTTCGAAAAACACTAGATACTATAACATCACATCCAAAATACCATATCGTTTTTCCGTTCGATTTGCGCGAAGATTGTCCTGACGTACCAAAAATTAAAACAATACCTCCCAGCAACATGGTCGCATTCAAGCAATAAAAATGTCAAAAGATGCGGACACTAGGCTGAATTAACGTTACCTAACCCCGGGAGTGCCGTTGTGTGGCGAACTTTTAGGAGAAACTGGCACGAATGAAATCACTGAGAGTCACAAAGCCTAAAAGAGGCCATCCATTCGCAACGAAAGTAATAATCTCGGCTTGTGATTCCCATGGGTAACGCCAGCCCGCAGCTGAGGTGCACTCCCGACCTTCTGTCGACCCACGCCTAGGCTTCCCAACGGAGCACAGAAAACAATAGTGCTAATGGGGGCAGCATAAATGCGGTCTCATTTCTTGTTTAGACAATTGAAGACGGCAGAGCCAAGGGTGCATGGCTGACTCGTCTATAACAACGAGATTTGTCTTCCGAATACGTCAAAATACGGAAATTTGTTCGATTCTTCGCAAACTCGCGGGTTTACGGTAATGCAGTCAATCCTGCATACTGTCCGAACAACGGTACAGATGTGGAGCAACGAAGCGGTCATGCAGAAACTTTCGCAATATGAAAATGGTGGAGTGCGAGTTGTATGCACGTTGTTGACAGGAGCATTTTAGGGGAAAAGTATACCAAAAAGAAATGTCAACCTCCAATTGAAAATGTCCTCACTGTCTAGTTAATAAACATGCGTCTGTGTAGAAGGTGCGATGTGCTCGTTGGACAAGCATTGTGCCAAATAATCATACGAAAAAAACGAGAAAATAAACGTGTCATTTGGTAATTCGGGAAACCCCAAAAACAGATTAACAAAAGAATAAAGAAAATCTGTGTAGATGAGGAGACAGAGGGACAGCTAGAAATGTTTCATCATTGTTCTTTGGAAACTCTAGATTTCTGTACATCTGCAAGCCACAAGAGTGACTGAATATGGTCCTCGGGTAAATCTGAAGGTAGAGTGCTTCGGTTATGAGCATCATTCTTGTCGCCCTGAGAACTAGTTCCAGCACTCAGCCGGGATTTTTTGTAAAGTAGCATTAGGCGACTGCCCATCAGACCGGATGTGGTTTCAGCAACCAACCGGGGAACCGCCGCCACATAGGTAGGAGCACGTCCAAAATCGACCCGCTCGTTGACGCGTAGTAGACAACCGTCGGCGAGTAGTGTGCGGACGATCCGCAGTATGTTGATCGCATCATCTAATCCACGATGTTGTTGTCCGATGAACGATAGATTAAGATCACGTAACATGGTGCTAAGTGTGACACGATTACGCAATGGAAGTTTATAAAACACTCGGAAAGCTTTGCTCAAGTTAATCCAAACGGTAGCCCATGAAGGAAGTGGGATTCCGTCGAGTCGACACTGGATACGCATGAATTTGCCCATGTCCGCACTACAGTCACAGACAACAGCACATCGAACATTAGATAATCCGTGCTTATTGAATAGCCAATCCTCAATTCGCGCCAAAACGTGTGGGAACGGATGCGCATTGTCCACCTCATGTTGACTTATTTGTGTCAGGCTTGTACAGAAGGCAGTCAAGTCCGGTCGCAATTTGGGTTTGCAATAGGCGTGGAATATTCCGATACACTTACGCGTCCGGGTATTATACAGCAAAATGGGGAATTCAATAATCTCGTGGGGATATTCGGGCGCGGATTGTCGGTGTTCTTGGAAATCACAAGTGGCCTCAAGATCGATTATTAATAGATACGAGTAGAACGTATCCGGAGTAAGGACAACCGGTTTCGGGAGTTTCATAGTACGCGAACAACTGCTGTCTGTCAATGCACAATTGGGGGCTTTATCGGGTGAACTTTGCCAGGCGGTTGGTTGTTCCTCAGTCAGCTTGTCAACCGCATCACTCGACGTGAGAAAATCGCCAGTTTCATGAGGCAGCCTCAAACGACCAGCATCCATGGACTGTGCTTCACGTATGCGGCGAACGAATTCTTGCAAACGTCGCCTCAATATTGCAACTGAGCCGAGTTGATTGAGTCCATGATCATAAAGGCACCTTCGCAAAGAAGCCAAGTTCATACAGTGAATACGGTGGTTGCAATAGCTTAAACGCTCCGACATGAATGAGCGCCACATCTCTGTCACCATAAGAACGCCAGGCGGAGAAAATGCAAGAGAAGAAGACGAGTACGGCAGTGATGCAGTTTCACTACCAACTCGAAGAGCTGGGTCTAGTGACAACAACTTGCCATATTTGTCCTCAACGGGACCTAAATAGACATCGTCGATAGAGGACCTGGCCAGTATTTCCTCTAAATTTGACAGTGGTATGTCGGACACAGAGCCCTGAGTGAAAGATGAGGACAATGACTCTGCGAGTTCGTCGTGCTGCCGATCCGATGAACAGCCAGTTGTTGAGGCGGGCGTACTACTGTCCCTATCCAGAGGCAAACTCGACATGTCAGATATGGCACACTGTTCCATCTGAGAACGAAGTTCATCATCAGAAAAAACATAGCAGTTATGGCGATCGTTTGTGCGCGACATCGGATGCGCTGTTGTGATGGGATAATTGTGATCGGTTGATGGGCAAGTCCGATGTGCAATTGTGGTGGTAGGTAGATAGGAAGTAGTCAAGCCAAACGACTTGGATTCATCTGTTTGAGGACAAAAAGCTGATTGTGGATACTGTGCACGGTCGGATTGGACAAACTGCGTGAAATGTATAGACTGAGGACCCTGGGAGAAAACTGGCCCAAACTGATGCGAACTTCGGGGTTGAGCACTGGCGGTTGACACAAATGTTGGACTGAAAACCAGCGTACCAGGAACCATAGACAGTACATCACTAGTATGCGTTAAGGGAGAATGGTAAGCTCGCGGACCATGATCTAAAGCAGAGCAGATAACTGTACAGAGGGGACGAATATCGGATTCTACCTGAGGATAGGTTACGCACTGATCTGGGACACAAACGGAGTAATCGTGGGACTCAGATGAAGGACTGCTACCACCAAAATTTTTGGAATATGAGTTGCTATCAGTGGAATTGAACGTAATTGTTGGTGAGATACCTGCACGGCTAGCAAAGTTGGTCCCACGAACGGTAGGCCTAAGCGTGCACGAAGCACGGGAAAGAAGGCAAACTGGCCCAGGCAGTCGGAATAAAGGACAGCATCTGAGATCGACTGTTGGAATCCATGTTGAGGAAGCAGATACTGGGCTCTGATGTAATAAATGAGATCCACGAATAACTTGACATTTGCACAGAGTTGTGTGAGTTCTGTTTGGCTCGGCAACTTCAAGGGGGTTAACAGCAGCGTCGTTAGTTGATTGTGTAACGAAATGCTCCGGGAGCAAACTCAGGGGAAAAGCAGGCTGAAAGGTACGAGAAAAGAGGAGTTATGGACGTCAGGAACAAATTGCTCTCTAGCTGAAGGCAACACTGCATGCAGGTTATTTCGTCTAACCCAGTGCTTCAGTGTGCAGTGAATATTCTAACCGACCAATACTTGGTTAAAAAAGCACCTTAAATAAAATCCAGAAACTGTAGAAATGGGGTGATTCTGAGTTTAAAAAACACCAACAGTAATAACAGATTTACGCAATGCACAAAAGAAACAGCAGGCTCTAAGCAAACGACACAGAGGGCGGAGAATGGATTAGACGGGACACAACAAGAGAGAGCAAGTAGACACCACTGAACAGAAAAGCCATCGAAAAGGATAGGTGACATAAGAAATCAAAGTCAATATATGCAACCCTGACTGAAATCATTTTCCTGAATGGTGGGCTTCACAAACATGCGGCCAAATAGATCAAGGGCAAAACGAACGTGTCAACAGAGTCCGAGCGGTGCTGTCTGTGACGCTCACTCAAAAACCCATCAACAGACTAATCACAAAATAACGAACACTTGGAAATCTGCATCCTTTGAAATAAAGTAGGCATTGGCTTCGTATCCTAACAAGTAAGTTACCCTACTCAGCGCCTTCAGCTAACCTTTCCATAAGGTGGCAACCGTGCCACCAATACACTGTACCTCTAATCTATCGAATAGTACGAGGAAGCTCTTGCTATTCTCCTAAAATGAACTTAGATCTCATTAATGTTGCCAGTAAGGTGCACATCGAAGCAGACGAAAGGTTCATTCGTTAGGTTAACTTAGACAGTCAAACCGCGTGGAACACGAAACGTACGAACGGTCAGCACCCACCGCAGTTGTACAAAGTTCCCACAACCAGCCAACCTCGAGACCACAGACCAAAGTTTATCCAGCTGTCGATGACGAGGATCAATGAACGATGACTGCTTCCTCTGTAATATCGCCGTAGCTTCAGTTTGTCTATCGCCATCATAAAAAGCAAAAAGCTTTACGGCCATCCAAACAAGACGAAGAACGAGTGAAAACAAAGGGAAAAACCATTATATATAATTGAAGTAAACGCATGCCAGAATCTAAGGGACAGATGCAGTGCCTATACAAACCTCAGCTAACAAAGGCCCAACGTAATACAACAAACTATAGTCAGCTACGAGGTGATAATAAGCTTGGAGGCAGTGATTTATATCCCATTTACTGTAAATTCCCAAACTGTCGTAGTCTTTTCCCGCGGAAAACCCCTTGGACAAAACATCTCCATCCAGGAGACAATTCTGAAGGCGGAAGTTTTGTAAACTCTTCCTCCATAGAAACAATGAAACCTGTCAGAACTGTGGTGGATGCACCAAAATGGAGTTGTTCCATGCCATCCATCCAGATTCAATAGATAGCTGTCGCTCTGAAGAGCTTATGTCGAAATCAGATAGGATATGCTAACCTGTTGCAATAATGGACTGTTTGCGGTTGAACTCCATGTGGTTTGACCGATAATTTAACTTCGGACACGTACACAGCACAATTCAACGGAATAGTTTACTACTAAAATGCCGAATAAGGAACAAAATGAAACAACACACGATAATCCAGATTCCAAATAGTTATCTTTGGTTTCGCTGTTCCCTAAGAATAAATTCACTCTGTTAGCGACTCAAGTGTGAGAGACTGACGAACAGAACACGGGCCATTTATAAGGACACATGGTCTTCAAATAACAAAACCAACACATCCGCATAATAGAAATGATCAATGAAAACAACATGAGGGAAGAACATTGGCACTTCACTGCCCTACGACTGTATTAATTTAAATGGAAATCAATGATTAGCGCAAGAAAAGCTGAGCACTGAGGGAGCTTCACAAAATCTCCAACACCTGAAATCACAAACGCCACCGACACCAGTTAGCTACCAAGCAATCATCGCCATCATCATTATTGACAGCATGACATTAGTGTTCAACACCGATGCTTCACTGCCGTACAACCATGACCTATTTGAAAGCCTCATTGTAAAGAAAAGAATTAATGTGGACGGGGAAGGGACATAGTGCTAGCATACTACAATCATTCCGAGATGCCTACACCTCCAAACACTCATTCAGACAATCTGGATAAAAACTGACAAGAACGCCGGTGACATCGGTTGGCAGCTATACATTGCAGTGTCTCAAACCAGGCGCAGTGCGGATCACGCGGTCCCCATCCTGGAAGACGAGTAGCACCGACAACAACCAAACGTTTCGTAATCTCCATCATAGCCCTCTGCTAGGTCAACGGTTGGCCATCTCTCTGCTTTCGCCACTCTGAATCGGACATGGAAAGCAGCAACATCTTCGACAAACGATGGTTAATCATACAAAACACATGCTCCAACCAACACAGCTTCTGGTGCTGGACACATCCTTTATTGAAAGTATTCATTTCACAAACGAAAGCTCGCCTTCTATCTCGTTACGCATTCATGGACACCAACCCACATGAGCTATGATTCTGAGACAACGACTATCGAACACCTGAAGACGTTTCAGTCCGGCTGCTCGGACAGGCCAAGTCTCACAGCCATACAACAACACAGCCCGCACAGTAGCTTGATACACACATTCTAGAATATGCAGACGACATCGTTCTCATCTTCGAAGAGGAGAAGGAGCAGGTGTTTTTAGATGAATTGACCCGTCCTTTGGTATGCACTTTGCACCCAAAAAGTCCGTAATCATTGTTTCAGCCTACTGTCAAAAATATACCATGCGTCAACGAACCTACCACATATCTCGCACGATGGTGCAAACAGTTGAAACAAGTAACTGGGATTTTAAATGCGAAAAAGAAGTACAGGTTGGGCCCCTGAATACCGATGGAGTGAGAAATGCCAACTGACTCAAAAATTTCTTACGGGTGTTAGCGGGAAGAGTGGCGATCGGTAGAACGAAGATTCTGATTAAACCATCGGCATATAGTAGGAAAAAAACATTAGTCGTAGGTTTACTTCCGTTCAGTGTTGGGCACTTCACATCCTTCTATGCGAACAAATTTAAGATGGGAATAAGATGGTTAAAAATTTACCCCATCTTGATGTAAACACTCACACCGACAGCATTCGCTGTTCAATTACTACACATACCTCGAGAATATAAAACAAAATGACAGTAAACACCAATCGTTAATAGTGCACGTGTTTCACCACTGGGTATAAAATTTCCTTGCGCCAATAAGAAAAGCCCCATTTGGGGTACTTTATTTTGCTGGAAGGTCATTCTCTAGAATCTCGCTAACAAGTGGAGCTTACTTAAGACTTATTTATTAATACTATCAAGTTTCTCATTTCGGGTCATTAAATGCAGAGGTTGTGATCCTGATTATTAGTGTCCCGTTCAAACAAAAGTTTGAATTTACATTGTACTCTTCTTTGGGGTAAAATGGTGCAAGACGAACGAATGCAATCCAAAAGTTTTCGCACATGTAGTCGTTTGGGTCACCTTTTCATTTGAGCTTCAGAGCACGCACCAAGTTAATGGGATTTGACAGCGTTTATTGAAGCGCTGGCAAGCGTTAGGACTCTCCATGAGTGATGTGGACTGTCTCATGAATGGCTTGACGGGGCGGATCTCCGGTGCCCCGACTAATCAACGCGGCTGATGTCTGACGTTCAAATTTTTATGCTTGGTCTCCAGGTCATGTGTTGTTCACTCCGTGCCTGCGAGTTGGGTCAAACTACAGTAAATAGTGATCGTTTCACGGAGATTCAGAAGTATCGGGGCGATTGCATGTAACCGGGAATGAACAATGTCCAATGCGAACTCACTCATTACGTATCATAGGTCTGGTAGGCGCGCTGAACCACCTCCTCGTGGTGCTGATTGCGTAGCCCGGACATCAGTCTTGGTGAGCCAAGAGTTCAGCAATTCCAGAGGGGATAACCACCCTGTGTGGTTTCAATGTGCTGGTTACTTTTAACAATGTACAATATGAATCATCTGGCGCCTCTACACCAGTTGCAACCAGTTCACAGGAGACTCTTCGAGCTCACGTGTGAGGACAGCGATGTCGGCATTTCTGGTCCACCAATCGATGATCATTTCTTATCAAGGGATCTGCTTACCGTAGTCCGCCAAGGCTGTTATTGGACGGGGACTTCCTAAGATCACAGTCGGCGACTTGAGTTTGCTTGCGATTTTGGGTTCTCTACGTAATTGCGGCACTTTTATACGTGGTACATGGTGTCGAGTGTTGATTCATGTTATTGAATTTCACACTTGACCCACTACGAAGGGCACTTTGTGCCTGTGTGATTCCTGATTATGCTGGCGCTTACCACGCATTGAAGAGCATTTGACATTGTCCTTTCTTCGGTTGCTGAACTTTACACAGGTGTTTCCATACCAAACATTCTTACATACGTTGGGATTCATCTTGTCTAACTAGAACCGTTGGTGGCACGACTTCGAAGGAGACGCTTCCCTTTTTATCTAACATTCTTCTGTAACCTTTTCACACCCATCGCTTGCATTTACTTCTTATGTTTGCGACTATGCTCTTCAAAAATAAACGATAGCTATAGTGCACAATAGCTGTCGCAGCAACCAATACAGCTACTGTCGTTCTGACAACCGTAGACTGAGTTTGAACTGTAATCGTCTGTCCATTTAGTTCTGTTGAAAACAGTCATGTGTGTAATCACCACACCGAACGGTGGTCGAGAAAAATTCCGTGATATGCCTATAATCCGTACGGAAGAACCCCGATGATGCGAGCAGTGGGTTGACTAGTTGAGAGCACTACTAAGCTTCCATCGGACAGATTCACATGAATCAACAGTTTAGGTGCAAGTACTGGATCCCGAGGATACTGAGCACTGTATGTTCCCTATAAATAATAAATAATCATTCAGCTGTAGCACCCTTTCGATGCCTCACTACCATACCACCAGAAGGAAGCACGAGGGTTGGAGTACTGCCAGGTTACCCAAACCCGGACAGAAGTCGAGAGGCGGAGGTTGAG